CACAAAAATAATATAAACAATTTATATACTGATGAAGAACTCTCCTCCTCCTCTGTTAACAGGAACCAGAGCAGAGGCCCATCCGCCCAATCTCTCTCTACCTCGAAGGACCCTCAAGAACAGGCAAAACCGCCTGGGCCAGAAGCCTCGGACGACACAATTACGTCTCCGGCAGAATAAGTTTCAAGGACTACGACCAAGACGCCGTCTACAACGTCATAGACGACATCAAATACTCGACAGTCCCTACCGAATTAATGAAGAATTTAGTAGGATGCCTTCACATTACATAATTGCAAGTTTCTTATTTGGTTTGCATTGATTATAGGATAAATTTGAAATAGGGGATAATTATGAGGACAATGCACTATCCCAGCAAGTTGTGGAAAAGAAGTGTAACGTGTTACATAAAGATTGGAAGTGCAGAATGAAGAAGAAATGGGAGAAGCTTGTGGATGCGGGAACTAATCCCTATGCTCATCCATACAAAGGAATCAAATTAGATGATTGGAAGTATTTGATTGATGAAGTATGGTTAGATCCTGCAAACAAGGTATGTTATTATTTAGTTATATAATAATAATGTATTATTAACAAGCTCTGTGAAATCATATAGAATGAAGGATCAAATTATCTACCTATAAATGCAAAGTATTTGACCACCTTCACAAGGCTTCTTAGTACTGTTATCATTGTTTAACTATATATGTCACAAACCCTTACAATGTGGATTTTTGTATCTAACCATGACCCAAAAAAAATGACCTAGTACTTTAACTATATATGTAATAAACCCGTACAATGTGGATTTTTGTAGTGTCACTACGAATAATAACCATTAACCATTCCCATAATAGACTAACTCGCATTGACAATCTACTGGGAAAATAAACCATGCCTGCAAACTGTTATTACCGTCTAACCTCCGATCATAAACATTTACTCTGACCAACCCACTAGCATTGGGGGGAATATTTTATCAATATTTTATCAACCTTAATACTTTTTTGTTTGTATCTTAACCTCAATTGAGAAAATAAATTAGGCAAAGCAAGTTCAATACAACTGAAATCACTTGCCGAAACACCTTCAACAACACAATCAATTAGTAACAAAAGTTTGCAAACTTTGTTAATTTGTATGACATTTTTTCTAGAATGATATACAAGTTTTGAATCTCTTGCCAGTTGAATCTATAATTTTTACAAACAATTTCTCAACAATTGAGCCCTCCATAATTTGACATCATGAGCATCTAAACTTTGTTAATTTGTATGACATTTTTTCTAGAATGATATACAAGTTTTGAATCTCTTGCCAGTTGAATCTATAATTTTTACAAACAATTTCTCAACAATTGAGCCCTCCATAATTTGATATCATGAGCATCTAATGGCTGGAAATAAATTTGTTGCGTGAAGGTTGGGTCATTTTTACCTTTAAAAGTCTCTAAGAAACAGTATTGAATAATATTGGTGCAAATTGTCTGAGATGACCATATTAGTGACAAATATATGATAAAATTGCCTTAGAAAACACTTTGAATCATGTTACTAACGTCGATTTTTTAAAATTATATATATATATATATATACTTTTGGTAAATATAAGGTTGTTATAAAATAATAATAACGGAGTTAGTACAAGACTGTTCTGGGATATAGAATTCCCATAGCATCATACATAACCATCTGAGATATAAAGGGAGATGGAGGGTAGGAGAAAACATGAAAATTCCCGTCCATCATAAGCAGCCCATAATTGGCTAGCGCATCCGCACTTTGATTGACTTCCCTGAAAATGTGTTTAACAGTTGGCGATCTGAGGTTGTCCAGGAGGAACCTGCAGTCATGAACAACATTGCTAAGGTGGTGTTGGTCATTGCAATTATTTAATACCATGTGCACAAGAGTGAGATCATCAGATTCAACTTCAATTGGTGTAAGACCCATTTCAAGAGCCAATTTGAGACCATCCCTAAGGGCCCATAATTCAGCAGTTAGACTGTTGGTTTTGCCCAGAAATCTGCAGAAGCCCGAAACCCAATTGCCATGATTGTCACGAATGATACCACCTGCGGCTGGATGATTTTCATTTGCTGCGCCATCGGTGTTAAGTTTGAAGCAATGAATTGGGGGTGGTTTCCAACTGCAAGCAATGGTTTTAGTGGCACGGGATTTGCTGGTGTAAAAAAGGTGATACCATTCGGTGGCCAAAGCAATGGTCCAAGTAGGTTTGAGTGGGTTTGGGGGAGTGGGCTCGAAGCGAACAGAGTTTCGATTTTTCCAAATGGTCCAACAAGCAAGGGGAAAGACAATGGCCCAAGGAATGGATGATGAGTGAGGCTCAGTGGAGAGGTAGTTGATTTTGAGCCATTCCGTTGAGCTAAGGTTGAAAGAAGGTGATAACTTAGTGGGGATAATGATTGAGTCCCAAAATCTTTTCGTAGAAATGTAGTCTCTCAATGCATGAAGGATTGTTTCGGGAGAAGACCCACAAAGTTGGCAAGAACTATCTGAGGTGATGTTTCTAGAATGTAAGAGGTCTTTGGTGTGAAGACGTTGTTAGAGTGCTAGCCAAATGAAATGGATCACTCTCGGTCTGGTAGGGAGTTTCCAAACCCAATCCCAACTGGGTAAGGGAGGGGTGGTGGAGAAGTTCTTGGAAAGTAAGTACGCAGATTTGCTGGTGAAAAGGTCATCGGGGGAGTGATTCCAAGAGGTCGTATTGAGTGCACCAGTTTATTAGTAAATTGGTATATGCTTGTTTCATAATGTATTAATTTGTTTAGCATTATTATTATTATTTTTCCTATTCATTCATCTTAGGCAAAAGTAAGTGTGATAGTCATGGAGGTTGGGTCACACTCGAGACCTGCGCAAGCCCAATCTAAATAGTGCTAAGAGCTGTCCATGCCTAATTTTCTAAGCTTGAATTTTTTTGCGCAAACCCAACCTATGATTAATAAATTTAGCTGGGGTTGCCCACAAAAAATTGTGGGCAAGGGTATCGAGCTTAATTTTTTCGATTATGTTTTGGGTTAGAACTAATATTTTTGAGTTGATTATCTTATGTTGGGTTGATTGTAGCGTTCTTTTTATCAATGAATTTCTTATGAGAATTGTTTTTTTTTTGTTAAATGAAAAAAGAACGTGTTGTGTTGCAAGTGAGATCTAAAAGCTGAGAAAAGATTGGGAAGAAAAGAGTAAAACAATTTGGTTAGGGTTAAGATGTGTATATTATAGGTGGGATTTAATAATAATCAAAGTGAGAGAAGAGGGTGATATTTATTTTTATATATGATATAAAAAGAAGTTGGTCGTGGGTTGGCTTAGATCTCTACCGAAATCCAACCCGAATTTTAATTAGGCTACAAGGTTTAGCCCCGACGCAATTTGAAATTTGCAACAGATTCAAGTTTGATAAAATATGCTTAAAAATAAACTTTTGCCACTTAGTGGGTGTTTGAGAAGTGAGTTTTTATGTAGGTTTTTTTAGTTGTAGGACATTATTAGAGAAATTTTTTTGTGTGTTTGGAAAGATAGTTGGATTTTTTTATGATTGGATATGATGTTTGTGAGAGAAAAAGTGAAATGATTATGAAATTGAATGTGATATTTTGTTTGGATGTATTTTTTTTTGATTTCGCAAAAAAATTGTCTTTTAGTGAAAAAAATAAAAAAAAAAATTCCAAACCCAAGTTCCCATAAGACTTATTATGTTATGAGATTTTGTATAGATAATCAAAACAAAATAATTCTATTTCTACAATTATTATGAAATTATGTATTCTAATCTGCTTAAATACCAGAAAAATAAACGAATTCCGTATTTTAGACTCATTCAAATTGCACCCTATAGGTAGAAGTATACTTCTGACAAAAAGAGTTTATATCAGAAATTTCACTCTATAAAAATGAAATCCACTTCATCCCAACCATCTCACATAAATGGACTTTTTGGTTGTCCAAAGGTTATTATATATATACACATGTGCATGATAGACCAATGAGCTTCTGGCTAAAAGGTTATTGTGAAGTTGATGGAGCCATCATCAATAGGACTTTGCAATATCAAAGCCATAGAGGCCTACCTTCCATTAGTCTTAGTAAAGTCACAATCAAAAGTTAAATTCAAGATACATACGAAAAAAGTTTGATTTTTTTCTATCACCAATATCATTGATAAAATTTACGCGTATTCATAATTTATTATTACAATAATAAATCTCAATAAAAAACAATTAAAATAATAATAACAAAAATATTTGAGAGTTCTAAATCAAGAGCATTAAAGGAGCATTAGTGGATGGAGTCTACCCATTGATATGATGTTTTACTCTTTTTGTTTTGTTTTTGTTTTCATTACCACATAAGTAGAGTTTAATTTAAAACTCTACTTTTAGAGTTTTCTATCACTATCCTAATAATAATAGAGACAATTCTTAAGTATGCAAATACATACCACATGTACTTACGTAATTTTTCATAAATATACGTAAGTTACTTCATAAAATTGAGTAAATTTTCACAAAGGTACGTAAATTAATTCATAAAAATTTAAGAAATCACAACTTACATATATTTGTGAAAACTTATTCGATTTTATGAGATAACTTATGTATATTTATGAGAACTTATATAAATACATATGATATACACCTTACATACCTAAATACTGTTGAGAAATCGTAAAAGTGGGAAGAACAAATTATTTTACTCTGAACAGTAGTCGATTATTTAAAAGAGTAATGATTCATCCCCTTTTCCCCCCACCCCCTTTGACCCCCTCTCTCTCTCATTGGTTACATTTTCTTTTTCTTTTTCTTTTTTTTCCTGCTCCTCCAATCACCCCCTACCACGTGACAAAGGGGGTGAGGGGGTGACCCCCAAAAGGGGTCCCAAAGCTTGTCTACCCACATATCATCCGTCAACCTTGGCATATTCACTTTCTTCCTCTTATGACCCGCACTTCTTCTTTCTTTGATTACACTCCCCCCCCTCTCTCCCTCTCTCTCTCTCTCTCTCTCTCTCTCTCTCTCTCTCACTCATATACATTATTATCTTCTTCATTCTGTGCTTCAAAATCCTTACAAATGAAGCAGAAAAGCTTGTCTACCCACATATCATCCGTCAACCTTGGCATATTCACTTTCTTCCTCTTATCAGAAACAACTTCTTGTGTGGATTCAAAGTATGAAGCTTGTGTGCCCAAAAAATGTGGTGGCCAAAGCATAAGCTACCCTTTTTGGATTCAAGGTGAACAAGAGTCTTATTGTGGGTACCCTGGTTTTGAGCTCACTTGCCAAAATAACCATACCATTCTTCAAATACCGGAAAATAATTATACAGTCCAGGAAATTTTATATGACAGCCAATCTATTCGCATATCGGTTTCAAATTTAAGCAATGAATGTTTACCACCAATCAGAAACTTATCACTTGAAGTGGACAAGTTTAAATTTGCTGCTTCTGATATTCCATATCTCCATATATTATCCAATTGTTCGTTGTCGTTGCCTGGGGGGCTTTTGGATTCTAATAGGATTAGTTGTGGGGTCAAGAATGAAGATGCTTGGGGTTTGGCTTTGGCGATGTTTGGAAACAATAAAAACTTGAACTATGCATTGGGAAAGTGCAAAACCCTGGTGTTGGCACCGGTTGAGTTGAATGGATATGATGGGATTGGGGACTACATGAAAGTGCTGATGAGGGGATTTGTGTTGCAGTGGAAGGCTAGTAATTGCAGCGAGTGTAAGTCAAGTGGCGGCCGTTGTGGGTTCGATGCGAGTAATTACCAATTCCGCTGCTTCTGCAAAGATAGACCTCACCGTGTCAGCTGTAAAACTAGTAAGTCCTCTGTCTCTCTTCTCTCATATTGCCATAGCTCATATCTTGTTTTCTCAAGAAAATGTGTGTGCTTGATAAAGAGTAAGATTATCAACACTATAAGGAAGGACCATTCAATTTATGATTCTTTGAGATAAGAAGATTGAAATGGATAATTATCAGTGGTGTTATCCTTTTGCTTGGCTGCCTGCCAGCTAATGGAACAACACTCAGTTCCCATTTCTACTATGCTTTTTAAATGGAAACTCAGTTTCCATTTTTAGTATACTTTTTAAATAGGAACGAGTGCGTTTTTCTTTCTATTTAAAAAAGTATATACTAAAATTAATTTGATTAGATTCCAAATTCCTAATTCTTTCTTGACACCAATTTGTATATTACATGACCTGGATTGTAAATCAAATTGTGTGACTATATACTATTTAACTAGGGCTTTTGGTCTAGTGGTTTTATAGTATCACTTTGTGGTGTGAAGTTGTGAGTTCAACTCTTGTGAAGAGGAGTTTGATACTTAAGCATTGCCTTTAGTTTCTCAAAAAATTGTGGGTAACTTTTACTTCGTTCGGATTGTAGGATGAGAAAAGAAAAGAAATGATTTTGATCTCTCGTCTAGACGAGAAAATAAAAGATTATATTTTCTCAACATCACGTATGGATGAGTAAGAAAGCAAATTATGTGAAAGATATATGAGTGAGATTTATTTTATTCAATTGTATTTTAAAGAGCAATTTTGACATTATAAATGTTTTACAACCAATCAATTTGTTCTTCATTACTTTTAGTGAAAAATGAAATAGGCTTAGCCTTTGTTTGGCAATGACTTTTTTAGTTGACTTTTTGGCTTTTTGAACTTTTTTAGCTTGAGACTTTTTTGCTCGTTTGGTGTTCTTGATTGGCTTTTTAGCTTTTTAACTTTTTAGCTTTGGAATAGGGATTTTTTTTTTGTCTTTTTGTAATTTTTGATTTTTTGTGATTTTTTGATTTTTTTTTATCTTTTTGTGCTTATTTAGTCCAAAAGGAAAACCGAACACCAGACAATTCTCTTTTTCAATATTTCTCACTTAATTTATAAACCAGACATGAAAAGGTTATTTTTTTCATCATTTTTTATTATTTCTCACTAAATCATCCCATTCAAACAGTGTAGGAGAAAGTGTCCAAAGAAACAAAGAGTACCTCATTGGAGAGGGATGCTTACTACTAGGAATTTAACTGTGCTTGAGACTTTTATAGTTTTAAGTTGCTATCAATAATCCATTCTTAATTAGGGTATGCCAACAACTTTGCCATGGTAATTGTTTAATAGGGTTAGTTTCTCTCTAAGAAGCAACCAGAGTCTTTTTCCACTCTCACATTATTGATTCAACTCTCGGACTACATTTTCAAGTTCCAGATAGATTAGGTAATAAATTTGATTCTTATTAAGTCTACTATCCCTTTCACTCTTAGAGGTCTTAACTGGGGAAACAATTGTCTGTATGAGATATCAACTCCCTAGTATGGTACTGTTCACAAATGATATTAAATTGACCTAGATCTACAGAAAATCCAAAAATGCTCTATTAAATTCTTATTTATTCCCTTTCACTTTTTGTGATTGACAAGAAGCTGCTCCAAGGTGGCAAAAAATTCTACAAAAATGATTTAGACCTCTAAAAGAAGAGCTCTAATAGAGCACTAATTTGTCTTTTTCTTCCCTCTTTTTTGTCTTTTACTTCACTGTTTTTTTTTTTTTTTTTATATATTAGTTGACAGCTCATTAGAGCTGTCATTTTGCAGCTCTAATTAGAGCTCCGGAGCATGACCCAAAATTCTTTACATGGTTGTTTTTCTGAGACCCTCTTAAAATTAGGACTGTTCTGTTAGGGCATTTGAATTGTAGTTGGGCCATTTCAAGAGGATCAAAGACAGTTCCGTTTGAAATGTTAAGACTAAGGGCCACAACCCTAACACAGTCACAACCTTACACTATAACATATAAGGATTTTAGAGATTACATTTTTTATCTCGAAAAATAAAAATTTTGTTACAAAAATATAAAAGAGATGGTTGAAGGTGGTTGTTGACAGCTGGAGGTGGTGGAGAAGGTGATTGTTGATGGTTGGAGGTGATTGTTGGCCACCAGGGGTAGTTTCTGGTCGCCAGTGGGAGATCTTTTGCGATAGCCCAATATGTCTGCCGGCTGTGGGAGGTGATGACTGAAAGTGGTTTGATGGTTGGAGACACCACATGAGTTTTTGTTTATAGTTTTCAAAATTTTTGTCAAGAAAAAAGGGGTTACCAAGCAGGCCCTAACTAAATTATAATAAAAATAAATAAGCATAAATATTAAAATTCAAACTTATAAAATAAACATCTTCATGGCAACTTATAGTGCGCATGTTTCACATCATTCTTCCTATCTGAGAAAAAGAATTCGACCTGATTTTTCTTTGAAATATTAAACTCTTCTATATCATAAATCAAGTACTTAAAATATGATGAGTTTGGACGGGAGCCCATCCTAACCCATCATTTAGAGGAATTGGAAGATGACAATCGTGAAGGAATCATAATCCTTAAACCCGCCCAACTCAAATTAAGGAATCACAATCCTTAGTTTAAGTTCCCACACAACCCAAACCCAAACCAATGATTAGCCCAGCGATCAAAAAAATAATAATAATAACCTACAACAGTAAACTTGAAAAAAATATTAAATGTAACTGTGACATCAATGTTAGTGGTGTCACTGACCAATTAAAAGCGACAAATGAATTAAGTGGAGAATTTTTATCTTCAGCTAATCTAATAATATTGTCATCTCTACTGCAAATTAAGAATACTCATTAAATAGTGACATTGACACGTGATATCACCTTACGTTCATTATTTACTTTTAAACCTGACCCAGCCTTTGACTCTACCCATGCCTAAGTCCAGCAGTCATTTTCTATACAGGTCCAACTAAAACCCTTAAGCCCAGCCCACAAATAAAACCCATTCTAAAAATCATCCATTCCCTTGAACAAGGCCAGCCAAACACAGTCCAAACCAGCTTCTAGTAGTCCACTCACGTAACGCATCCTAGTGACAAATCCCAAACCTAATTAATCCAGCCCAGTTTCACCATACAAAAAAACATCCCATTAACTATGATGACCAATTTACAGCTATATCCAAATTTTGAAATAATTTTTCAACCCAACAAGAAACGCTAGACAAGTTACTGGCACATGCTTTAGGAGATACTTCAAAAATTTCTCAAAATTCTTTTAAGTATCAAGTAGAAATTATTGACCAAGTCGTTCCAACGACTAAAGAAATTGAAATTATTTTGGAAGATGTTGAAGTCCAAAAGGCCATGATTGACATGGAAGAAAATTTCACGAATAAAATGATTCTATCAAAGAAAAAGCCTCATGAATTTGAAAGTGCACTCAAATTATCAAACAATACACTTCTAAAATATCAACCCTACCAATTAACATGCAATGGTAAGTCATTAAAATTTCTTCAAATTTCAGTACCAAAATATAGATCTTAAAACCACAAATTATTAGAGAGGCTGGAACTTAAATATATATCATCATGGGTGAATGTAGTGCTCTCAAACAATAAAATCATGCAAAAGGAGAAAGATAGGGCGCCAACATGTCTTCAGCTCAGCCTATCAATATTGGTTAGGTCGACTTTTCTTAATTACTATTCCTATTGGTCTGAAAGTAACCAAGACTACTTAATTAGAGTCTGGATCTTTTAAGCTCAAATTATAAAGTAAATATTTTATTGGGTTATGTGTGTAATTATATGTTAAGATAGTTCTGTTTGGATTTCGTATTGGAATAATTTTCTGTGTAAAATAAATAACTTGAAACAAATCAAATAAACAAAATAAATTACTTATAGAAATTATTTACCGAAACAACTTAAGAATAAAAATGATTAAGTTGAGTGTGTGACACTCTGTTCTTAAGACAGATTTGCCTCGCTCAGGTGCTTACGGAATAATGACGTCTATCTCCCAAGAAACAATGATCTTTCACAAATTGTATTAACACTAAAAACAATCTGTTTCGGTAAACTAGAACCTGTGTTCTATACTTTTAGAAATTTGTCTAAAATTAATATGAAGAATATATATATGTAAGAGAGCAAAATTGAAGGCAATAAGAGAATTTCCAGATTGATCAAACTGCTGGAAGAGGGTCTGAATTTATAGGCAAAGTGGTGCCTTTTCAGAAGACCTGAATAGGTATAATTTGAATTGAACCGGTGTAGAAATGCAAATCTGTTTGAAAACAGTTTGATTTGCTGGAAAATGGAAGAGATTTTTGGACCCGAAGAGGCACTGTTTGGACAGAAAAATTGAATTCAAGTTTGGCGCAAAATTTGAATTAATTTTGTTTAGAAATTTAAATAATTTTCCCGCAAGAATTCGAAAAAATTAATGTTAGGATCCGATCCACAACCGCGCATGGCACGACCGAACGGTAGCGGCATGTGTGGTGGTTTGAGCCCAAGCCCACTCTGTCCATAACTCTTCCTTTCTACAAACTTGGGGTGTCCCTTGAGGTCCAATCCAAGTATGTCCACCTAGAGTTTATATACTCACAAATGCTCTCTTAAAGTTTCAATGTGGGACAGCTAATCTAAGGAAATCCACATTTAACTCTTCAACTTCCCATTTCATGAACCCAAAGTCGACGTCAACTTTCCATTCACTCCTAAATGGTTTTAACGAACGTTTGCACTGTGTGACTTGCCATGCAGTAAGGAACACGTCACCTCTTCAGACCCACTTCAAAAGACGTGTAGGCTCCACTCAAATTTGGGCTCAAAATTAACCTAAAATAAACCTATAAAAATCATAATTTTCAACATTTCGTTCACACACTTTGTGAATAAGACACGAATTGTGATTGGTTTAAAATAATGGGCCTACAACTTTGATAGGTCAATGCACCTTTTAGATATGGGTCTCACTATTTTGGACTAATCACAGGTTCTTTTAATAATTCTTATCACACGCAATTAAAGTGACTTTCAATTTTATGAGTATTTTATTTAGTATCAACATAAGCAACATATTGGTAGCGCTTGGTTTGTGCTTGGAATTATGATTTAAGTATGGAGTTGTATTTTAAATTTATGAGTTTTGGAATTATGATTTGAAAAGAGAAAATTTGTTTGGTTATGTGTTTTGAAAAGAATTTTGAATTGAGTGTTAAATTTTTGAAATGAGTGTTGAGTTTGTGAAAAGTTATATGATTATGAGTTTTGAAAAGAATTTTTAAAACTTAATTAAAAAACTTATAACTCATAACCAAACATATAACTCAAAACTCTATTAAAAATCCTATTCAAAACTCATAACTAATTTTTTTTTAAAATTCAATTCAAAAAAATAATTATTGAAAAAAATAATTTTTTTATTTAAAAAATTAAAAAATTCCGAAATTATTTTTTTATTTAAAATATTAAAAAAATGTTATTATTTGTTAACAAAAATATTCAGCTAGTGCTTTAAAATTACTTTTGATTGTATATTTGGTTGGAATGTTTGGTTATGAGTTTTGAAAAAAAAAAATTGTTAATTTTAAATAAATGTCCAAATAATTTGTCATTTTTGTCTCAAAAAAATATTTCTATATTTAAAAAATATCAAAAACAAATATATATATATATATATATATTTAGATAACAGGTGCCAATTGCTATTAAAAAAAAACTGTTTTGGTCAACCGGCCGGATGTCTGGGTAGACCAAAAAATTCAAAAACTGTCTAGGAGGATGTCTGGGTAGACAATCGGGTAGTCCAAAAATTGAAAAACTCTCTTCTTTATCAAACATGTTTTCAAAATGTATTTTGAAATTGATTTGAAATCATAATTTGAAAACTGTAATCAAACAGAGAGTTGATTATTAGTGTAGAATCATAGTTTGAGAATCAAACCAAACACAGCCATTGTTATTCTATCCAATTAACATACATATTCTATCAGAACCAATATAAAATTTATTTTATATTTAACTTCATAGATGGTGTGGATTCGTAAATTTATACCAAGTTTATTTATAGTCAATTGACGAAGAACCATCTCAAATTAACAATGTTTTGTTCAATTTTTTTAGTTGTGTATTGTTTATTTGCTTTGGGAAGGACAATTGACATATATCTAAGTTTTATTTTGTATCCACGGTGCTACCTAAGTTTTACAACATTAATTTTAACAATATCTAAGTTTTACAACCCAGCTCTATTAAACGGGGTTTTTTTGGCTATTTTAGCCACAAAAAACAAAATAGGCTATTTTAGCCACAAAAAACAAAACATCACATCCAACCCATAATCATTACATTCTTCTCTCACAAAAAAAGCCAAAAAAGCCAAAAAGCCCTTCCCAAACCAAACTTTTTAGCCCAGGCTAAAATAGCCAAAAAAGCCAAAAAGCCAAAAAGCCAACCCACTTCCCAAACGGAGGCTTTTAAATAACATAGAAAGTAAACAAATGGATCATTCTTACAACTTTTAATGTTGATTTCATTGCACACGTTTGTTGAAATACATCAGTCATCTTGTCAATTGAGTAAGCTTTATTCCCATTTTCGTTTTCTTTGTTTTATGTTGGAAAAATAAAAATAAAAATCTTATACTTCAAATATTTCACCTCATTTTAGATGGGGCAATAGAATGCTTGTAATTGTACTGGATGTGTTGTTAGATTCAAGGCTTTAGATATTTTTTTCTTTTAATCGGAACCGTATTCTAGACAGTGCCTTTTGAGCCCACTCCAAAAACGTAAACTCGAAAATCAAGTCACACTCTAAAATTAAGATAATTGATGCCTCTTTATTAATAATTTTAAAATGACCATATATTCATCATACTTTCTTCTAACTTACAACAAAAGTCTAATTTCATATTCTTCAACAGTTTCTTGTTTTTTAATTTTTTATTTATTTTTACTGTTTATCTGCTCAGATAAACAAACCAATTGCATATAGTTTAATTTCATAATTTTAGAACCGCACTAAGTCAATGAGCTTTGATATTTACTTATATATATTTTACAAATCTCTTGAAAACCCAATCAAAGTTGAGACAAACATAAACTACTAGCTTTAGAAACCAAGATAGATTAATTTGAAAGACTGCAAAGCCAAGTCAAATTTATCGTAAATTAAACAAAACATTTATATTATATTTGGTTGGAGGATTTGGGAAGAGATTTGAAAAGAGAAAGAGAAAATGTGTATAAAACTAAGTGAAATATATGTATGTTTTATTCACATTTCACCTACATTTTTCATTTCTCTTTCCAAATCCTTTCTCAAATCCCTCAACTAAACATAGTATTAAAATAATATTCAAATGATTGAAAGTGGCCTGCAATTGTGTCAATATATGCCTCAATTCTTTTGCATATCCCAGTTATCCTAAATCAAGTCCTCCCAAATGGGCCGGCATTGCTTTCTCAACCTGGAAACTTTCTTCTTCCATGTCGGAATCAATTCCCTCATCATCACCACCTTCTCAGCAGAGACAGTGTCATATCCAGATTGGCAATACGAAGCGTGCAGGCCTAAAAACTACGGTACTGGTCCAAACATAACCTACCCATTTTATGTCGCTGACAATGAAACAGATTTTTGTGGCTATCCAGGCTTCAAAGTTTCCTGTGAAGCAAAGAAGCCTGTTTACCGGACCTCTCTCAGCGATTACTTCATCGAAGACATCTTTTACCAAAACAACTCGTTTCACCTAGTTAACGTCGAGGTGATAAATTCTAGGTGCCCTGTCCCTCTTCACGATTTTGCCTTTGACAGCTCTCCTTTCCAATTCGGCCCCAACTTTGCTGGTCTTTACTTGTTCTATAACTGCTTAAACTTGTTTCCTTCCAATTACGCACAGTATCCAATTACTTGTGCTTCAATGCCACCCACAACTCTTTCGCTTACTTAGACACCGGGACAGATGGCTTTAACTGTTGTCAATTTCCTTGTGAGTTATCGGTTCATGCCTCGGTTGAGATAGAGGGAGGTCAGCAGAATCAAGTAGTGGAAACTATGGACTATGCAGAGTTGCTGAGAACTGGATTTACATTAGAATGGATGGGGATTAGTTGTGCCGCTGAGTGTGAAAACAGTGGTGGCCATTGTGGGTTCAACAACAACAATAGTGTATGCTTTTGCCCTGATCGACCTTATGGCAAACGTTGGAATAATGGTAAACACTACAGTTGCAGTTCTATCAAATATATATTATTTTGTGTGTGGCTGATTTTTGTCTATAGTTTGTGTTGGATAATCTTCACTGTATTTAAAAAAATAAATTATGTTTGTATACTAAACAATAAACATAATACAAAAGAAATAAAGGAGAGGAGAGAGATTGTTTGATTACAAAAATCAAACCAAAAAATAAAAATAAAAAAATAAAAACAGATTTTTATTTTGTTACAAAAACAAAATCAAAATCAAAATCTGATTTAAATAAATAATAAACCAGAAAATAAATTAACAACTTACTTGATTAATTTGTAGAACAATATTCTAATCAAGTCCAGTGTTTGACACTGTGTCCTTAAGACAGATTTGTCCTCTCCATGGTGCTAACAGAATATGGACGTCTATCTCCCAAGATAAAATGATCAATCAACGAATAAATGCAACACTACAATTTATTCGTAATACAAACATACTAAGTGTTTACACTGTTTATACTCTTTCTCACAAGAAAATAATGCAGCAATATGTAGAGAATAGTTGCAGAATTATTTGGACGGAAAAATTGAATGAATACATCAAATGAGGGCTAGTTTATTTATAGATGTGGTGGCACCCTTTTTTTTTGAATTGAACAGGTAGCATACCTGTTTGAACATGTATTGAACCTGTTGGGTTTGAAATTGGTACTGTTTGGGTTTGAATTCAAACAGATATGAATCTGTTTGGGTTCGAATTTTGAACAAAACCTGTTCTGGGTTTGTAACAGAACATATTTTATTTCAAAAAATAAAATTAAATTCAAATGTTGTTGACCAAAAAAGATTAGTATTGGGCCGTACAAGCCCAACGACACTACACACCAGTGCCTAAGCCCAGGCCCAGCCCGCCCAATCGGGCGGCGGCAATGCGCGTGTGGTTATTTTTGGGTCCTAGCATGCTTTGCCCATAACCTTCCTCTCTACAAAACTTGGGTGCCCCTTGGGGCCTACCCTAAGTTCCAAACCCAAGCCTTATAAACCCACAAAATTCTTCCCACCAAATCAATGTGGGACAAGCCTTAAACCATACATTTAAGAAATTTCCACCAAAACTTCATTTCCATGGAGTTCTCTTTGGCTTCAATTTGAGCAACCAAATATACCACGTGAATCACAACGCGGCATAGAACGTGTTACCACTTTGACCTGCGAAAATTGACGCATCGGTCCCATCTAAAAATTAGACCAAAGTTTAGGAAAAAATTTGATTTTTTCCCAGATTTTTTCAAAACCATATTTCTAACAGTTTGTAGTAGCTTTGTTATTGAAGAACCATTTTAGCACAAAGTACATACTGTAATTTTTTACTTTTCGCCTAGTCCGCAAAATAGTACTAGAAAAAGATGAAAGACAAAAAAAAAGGAACAACTGAGCTGAGTTGAAGAATATTGGGACCTTTTTAGCTGAATCAGTTGCATCTTTTATTGGTAGCAATCACTGTCTAAAGACTTCTCAAAAAAATCACTGTCTAAAGACTAAGCCATATAGGGAGCAGGGTATGCCAGCAATTCTAGTTTAAGAGACCTTTTTATATAGGGCTTGGAAATGAAAACAAGTTACCTAAGCGCTACTTGTGTATTCGGTACACTCGAGATCGACACATTAGGTAAAAAGCTAAGTTTGAGTATGATGTAGCATGTATGATCATACAATTCTTAGATCAAATGGATAGGCTTGTGGCAAACAAGGCAAAATGTATTAGTAGAAATCAAATGGATAGACTTGTGAAATTTGATAAGTTGATGACAAATGTTGTTTTGATCAAGATCCATGGACCCTAGTGTATTTTGGGCAAATTCCATTATTTAGGCTGTTAATTTCAAGATTTTGTTATTTTTGAAAAGATTTGTGACTCCAATTACTCCTAGCATAGAATTCAGAACATGATTCCGTCGAATCTTCCATTATTATTGTTACGACCCAAACAGCGCTTATAGGTTTAGTGTCGTAATCGGCCAGTAATCCTCGGATTACCAAAGGCCTCTGACCTGAATATCATAAAATGTAAGGAGCTGCGGAAGCAAATATAGAAAATATATAGTCCACTGAGTTGTGTTGACATACAAGAGACAGTAATTTTAAAAACTTTATATACATAGGCGTGACGCCATACATACTGTCACACCCCAAATCCGGGCATGACCGGTCGTGGCCCACAAGGACACACGTAAGCGTAAACATAAATCCAAAACCATAAAGAATAAATGTGATAATAGCTGAGAAATAAATAAATCAACACTCAATCCAGTGACATACCACAAGTGAAAAACAAGTCATAACCAACTTCCTAAAAATATATATATACTAAATGGGACATAAACCGCCCACAAAATAAAATAATTATAAATAAAACCCAACCACAATGTATGCACAAAACTCGACAAAGCAACCTAAAACAAATTAAATAATGCCCTAGAGGTCCATGCAATTGAGTCCCCGCTATGCCATGAGTCCACTCTAAGTCCTTCTAACACCTGGAAATGGTAAACAACTAAGTCAGCTGATAGCTCAGTGAGTAGCAACATGGATAGTAAATACAGTTTTGAAAACAGGGTTCAATTCCAAAATAAGATATATATCACAGAAACTAGATTGGCATACAGTTTGGTAAATACAATCTTGTTTCAAAAAGAAGGTTCCACAATTCAACACTTAAAATACTCATGTCTCGCAAGAACATGATAAACGACATTTTCCACTTAAAACAGATTATAACATGAACACCAATAATTTTCTGGGTACCAAGAAAAGCAAATAATATGCCACACAGTTCTCAAGGCTATAAGCCCCGTTGGATCCAATACCGAACTAAGAGTCATCCTCAGGGTGGCACCTGGGCCTTTTCTCAAAGACGATCAGATTGAAGGTCACCTAGTTATTTTTAAAGGTCTTTTCCTTACAATCATTGAGCACTAGAGTCATCACGGTCCAACTCGGATTTGTTCCCTAGTGGCTAAAGTCACTACACACAGTGGAATAATTTCCCTTGACTGAATACACACATGGTCCCAATAATCAATACACATCAGTTTCGCAAAACATGGTAGTTCATCATTATAAACATGAGACCAAAACAAATAGTTTACAGTATGCCAAGTTCATACATGTTTCAGAAATAATTTGATTCAATTGATAATATAATAATTTATCAAAACAGTTTAATCATGAAACAACAATTTAATTTTCCAACAGTTCAGGATAGGGAAACATTTATAAAAATATGTAGCATGAAACTACTCACTTGGAAACGAAATAATATAATCCTCGAATAGAGTATGAAAGTCCAACTAGTGCCCTGAACCAATATGAAAACTACACGTCACTACTAATTTAAAAATACTAAATAATACGAACTAAGTAACCCCAAACTAAAGGACACTAACACGGCTCAACCCAACTCACCGTTACTCTTAAATATTACCTAAGTTCATGTTCTTCAAGGTCTAAAATCACCCAAGATGTAGGTTTCGATCGAAACTTAACTAAAAATAACTTTAAGATAAAACAGTATTTTAAACAAGTTTTCTCAATCTATTCGCTAACTTTGAAAATTACAAAACCCACTCCACGCTATTCGAAAAATTCTAAAACCCTCAAGATATCAACTAATATATCCTAAGTTTTAAACCCAATTGGTTTCACTTGATTTTCTTATCAAAATAATTATCTACAATTTATTATATCCAAACAGGTTGTTTCCTGCAGCACTTTAAAGAAATTGGCGGTTCTCTTAATATACACGAGCAATCAATGCAAGGCCAAAAACGTACGAAACTAGAATCGTAACCGGTTCTAATGACACTAATTTGATAATTTTTGGATTTATACCCAAAGAGAACAACACTCCCGAATTTACTGTTTCGGACTGGTTTCCTGGACAGATTTGAATACCTCAATTTATATGGATTTCGACTCCCAAAAATTATGAAAAAATTCAGATATGCAATTCAATGTGTAATTGATCTACTGTAAAAATTTCAGATTAAAATTCATCCGTTTGATATGGTTTCTTGATTTTTAAAGTTTGCGATTCTGTGCAGAATTTTTGAACTAAGAATTATACCCATTCTTTACACATAAATTTAGCTCCTCAAGTTTCTTAATAGGATATCTATATACAAAATACATAAACCTACAACCTCTCCATGAATGAATAAAATAATTATAGAATAAGGATAGAACAAAGAAAGAAGAGAAGAAAACCTAAGAGGGCTAACCTTTGATGATCACACACAACACAACACACCCAAAAGTTCTTTGATTGCAACATCTTCTTCTTTTTTTCCTTCTCTCAAACCCTCTCTCGTGGCTGCTGTGTTGTTGCCCTATGTGGTGAACAAATAATAGAGTAGGGTTTGTGTTTATTTTATTTTATACTAGTATTGGGCAAACATAGGTCAAATAAATATATAAATATACAAAACATATATATAAGTTATATGCAACTCAATGGTAGGAGCTTTATTTATTAATCTTGTGGTCTAGAGTTCAAGTCACACCCACTTCTCTATTTTATTTTAATTTATTTCTTTATAATAAATCTTGCCTCTAAATTAAAGACTTTCACCATAAATTTATTTAGGTTTAAAATTAATTAAAGACCCACCAAATATTTAGTTTGCATTTTAGGTTTTACCATCAAAATATTTGAGATTGTAATTTATTATTATTTAATTATTTATTTAATTTTTATATTCGGGTTCTCATACATACAGTAGTCCATGCCACATTCATTATAGATATACATATAAACATAAAACTTGTTTAACTTCCAAAAGAAAACGAAGTCTCAAACACATGTGAGCTACAAAAAAGGGACCTCCTTGGGAGGCACAATAGCTGGCAGACACGACTGAGACTCCAGGTCCTCAACTTTGAGCCTGGTCACCTACATACATATATAATACAATGAGCTGGAGCCTAGTGAATAATAACATATTACAAAGGTTTAATGAATGATGTCCGTCATAGATATAACCTTCAAATCTCTTATTGAACAGAAGCA